CACATCCACTGATTGGGATGGATGAGTGTTAGAATTTATGGATTTAAGGTTTGAATTTAGGGATATGGGTTTAGGGATTTAGGGGTTTGAAGTCATGATTGACGGTGATCGGTGGGTGGGTAGGAGGTGGCCAATGGGGGCGGCAGCGGCAGTGAACGACCGGTGGACTAAATGATAACATTGAAAATGTTAGACACCTAAATTGATGAAATTTTTTAACGTTTGTTATGGTCGAGGCACTTAAATGATAACATTGAAAATGATAGACACTTAAATTGATAAAAAAAATTAGACAGATAAATAAGAAAAGAGGTATAATTTGATTTTTAGATTAAACTTTAAATATATTATCATCATCAAATGCTATATTTTACGTAAACCCTAAAATGATCATAAATTTAAAAATGAAATCAAATTTAAGGTTTCACTTACATGATTTAGCAGATTTAAATAAATGATACTAAATGATTAGATTTATAATGACATATTTAATTTAGAGTTTGAACTCTCACACCACTTCATTTTTTAATTTTAATTTTAGGATTTCAAATTAAATTCTTTATTTTAAATAAACAAATCCGTTAAGTAATTAGTGTACATATTTACTTGTATGTTTATTAAAATTCATACCCAATCATTAAATATAACATTTCTAATTTTTCTTTTCTTTTCTTTTCAAGTGATATAATAAATATATTTAAAATAATTAGTCGATATTAAATCTGTATGACATGAAATTTCATAATTATTAATTTTACACTTAAAAAGTGTATACACATTCGTGAATGATTTAGATTTTATACCCAATGGTGATAAAAACGTTTTGAATTCAATAATGAACAATAATAATACATTGAAATTGTAACATCCCAAACTACGGGTTAGTGACTAAATTGTAAAATTTCAAAATTTGGGGATAAAAGTAGAATAGTTGAATAGTTTAATGATTTATGTGGAGATATTTCCTGAAAGTTATCGGTAATTATCAAAGGAACTAAAGGGCAAAATGGTCATTTGACAGGAAAGATATTTTCTCCCCCTTGATAAGCATGAATTACGTGGGGGTGGGGGAGAGTATATGGAAAACTCTCTTATTCTTCTCCCTTCTTCTTCCTCCTTCCCGTGAAAGCCATGCAAAGGTAAGATTTCTTTGTTGTTGATTATTAGCTGAAATTTAAGTTGGGTTTTGATCATTAGACGGTAATTAAGCTTAAGGAAAGCTTAATTTGTTCTAAAACAACAAGATGAAAGGTATAGAAGAGATTAAAGAAAATGTGTTTTTAGATGAATTTCTGGAGAAGAGATTAAAGAAAATGTGTTTTTAGATGAATTTCTGGAAAAGAGTTGATAAGTAGAATTTGAAGTTAAATTTGACTTGTCGTCAGCTTAATTAAGAGATATAAAGTGATAGAATGGAAATTAAAACAATTGAAAATTGGGTATGATTCTTGAAGTTCATAAAGATGAGAGAATTTTGAGGTTTAAGATGAGATAAACGGATATAAATGAGTTTAAGCATGTATATGTAAGTTAAGAATATGAAAGGGGATGAAATATGAAGTATTTGAGTTGAATTGAGTGAATTTTCGTACTTAAAATATGATTTTTGGGCAAAGGGAACTGATACCCCCCTTGAACGAAAAATTCCAGATTATGCAAGGGGTACAGATACCCTATGGGGGGTATCGATTCCCCCTAAAGGAAAAATGGAATTTTGGTTCATTAAATCAGTTTAAGTTATTAACATCAAGTGTAAGGTTTAGGCTTATGATAATTGTTTTAAAAATTATATTTATGTAGATATTGAGTATAAACAAGTTCTGGAACAATCAAAGAATTAGGATCAAATCAAAGCAAGGCTAAGGTGAGTGCAATTTAATTTGTACTTAGGTTATTGAACAAACATTGGCTTGCGGTGAGCCATTGACGGAGTTACTGTGGTAAGAAGTGACTCATAAAATATTATTCGATTTGTGATTGATTTGATGCTTATGTGGCATGAGTGTATGTGATATATATATTATTGCATATGTTACATGAATGGTGTGAATACATGTTAGTGTGATAAGCTATGTGAATTGGTATAAGTTCTGTATGTGAATACATGTTATATGATATGAGATTAAGTGATGAAACATAGATGATATATATATGATGATATAAGAATAAGACATGAATCAAATGATATATATGTTTATGTGAATCCATGCAAAGTGATACGAGCTATGTGACATATGAATATGAATTCATATGAAAAGTGACATGAATTGCATGAAAGTAAACTACGTGATTATATGCACATGTGATATGTGATCATAAGAGTAATGATATGAGTACATGAATATATGAAGCAAAAGAAAAATGCTCATGTTATATGATATGAGAGCTATAGGTATAGTTGGCATGCCAAGAGCCGATGGTCTACGCGGTCCTTCGGGACATATACAGTGGTCCATCGGGACAAATACATAGGTCATTCGGGACAAATTTCATATGCCACTCAGTGGGACTTATACGAGCTGTGGTGACAGCAATAGTGCACAACATCTATGTACTCACATATCTTTAGTTCTCACCAGTGTACCATGGGCTAATAAAGAGATAATATCAAATACAATATATATATGATGTATATGTTTTTGATGATACGAAATGCGTTATCTGAATTATATGATGTTATGTGTGTTTTGTTATGAAATGATATATGTGTTCTATGATGTATATGGAAATGTTCAACATATGCTTATATGATAAAAATGAATTAGTGATAATAACATGATTATTGATAAATATGTTCATGATAAATGTATATGTTTTATATGCCTCACTAAGTCAACGACTTAGCGTGTGATTGTTTCACGCGTAGGTTTTGAGAAGAGGAAGATTGATAAAAGTTATGCAAGAAAGGTCAATTCTTCCTTTCCAAAGATCAGATCAGAAAAGAAGTTAATAGTATGTATTTTGTAATACTGATAGTGGTTGACATGTAAACAAAGGTTTGAATCCGATATGTTTTAATCGGTTTTGTAAAATCATATGATTGAATTTTGTAATGTTTTAAATGTGTATATGTAAATGGAAATTTTATACGGATGAAACCTTAATTTTTTATGAATTTATAAGTATTTTACGAAAATATTGTAGCAGTACTGTAGTAGGATATCGGTTCCCTGACAGCAGTCTGGAAAATTTTAGCATTTGGTACTGTAGCAGGGTACTGTTCATGGTATTGTTCATACTGTTCACGGTACTGTTCATACCATATTTTACTATTCATAAATACGTTTTTGCCTCAAAATTTTATAACGAACACAATTCAACAATATATGATCGTATTTTCTTAATATAGGTTCAAATGTTTTATTGTTTTGCAAGAATAAAGGTTTTGAAATGTCAATGTGACATCTCAGATTCGTATCCGGATCGGATACGGGTTGGGGTGTTACAGAAATTATCATATTTATACTAGCATTAATATCATTATTTCTTATTCTTTAAATTAAATATTTTAACTCCACCAAATAGGGATAAATGATCCGTGTGTATATATATATAAACCTTTCGATATTGAACGCTTACATCTCTGGTATTTATGATGATAATATATATATATCAACCTCTTGATATTGAACGCTCCCACCTCTGGTATTTATGGTGCTCGAATCTAGATCCTCAAAGAATAACAACAATTCCTTTACCATGGAAGTTACTTGGTTCGTGCATGATCTGTATATATTTTAAATTTGACTTTATGTCACTTATATTGTTATTTAATAATTTTTTATTTTACCAATAATAGATTAATTTAGAGAGATGATGCAACAAGTCTTTTAAATAATATTTGAAATTTGAATTGTGATACTATAAAGAATAAATCAATTGAAATCAAATCATTCATAATAAAATTTTATAATATTTAATCTGAATTAACCGATTAATGAACTAAATACTTATAATTATATGAAAGATTCTTTTATTTATTTTTGATAAAAAAATACTTTTAGTTTAAATCCATTTTGAAATATATATATATATATATATATATATATATATATATATATATATGGTACAAAATCTTATAACAAAATAATTATGGGCGACTCATGTACACCACTACTTGATATCGCCTGTCGGTGTAGAGCAAACAGATATATTCTAAGAAAATTATCATTTTTAATAATAAAAATAATTTTTATTTTATTAATTAATTTTAATATGTACAATTATTTAATATGTCAACAATATAAAATTTTACTTTAATAAATGGAGTTAAAATACTTCCCTTTTTTATTTTTTTTAGTTTATTGAATATAACTTAAGAAAAAAAAACTAATAGTTGGATGATTTTTATTTATTATTTTAAAATAAACTATTAAAGTTAATTAGTAGTTTACTTAAGTTTAAAGGGATAATGCTCCGTTTGGCCCCTGATTTTTATTTTTGATCCTAATGTTTTTGTTGTAATGTGGCCTTTGATTTTAGCTTTGAGTTGTAAGTTGGCCCCTAATTTTCGCATTGAGATGCAATTTTTCTCCTAACTTTTTTTAATTGAAATTTGACCATTGAATTTATATTTGCTATGCAATTTGTCTTGCATGATTTCAAAATATTAATTTAAAATTTTATTTATAAATTAAAACCAATCTAAAGTGTTATAATTTATATTTTAAATTATAATTTAATATAAATATAAACATTTAATTAAGGATAAATTTATATTAAAAAACTAGGGGGCTAAATTATAGATCAAAGTTAAAGGTCAAATATAGCATAATGCTAAAGTCAGGGGCTAAATTGCATATTAAAATCAAAATAAAGGGTCAAAAGATATATTAGCCCAAGTTTAAAAGACAGCCGAGGGAATGAAAGGTGTAGGAAATGGTCCAAATGGGCCCACAAAGATAAAAAAAATCATGTGCGCCAAAGGCTAACTGACAAAAACGTACGTACGAATCTGATTATGAAGAGAGCAAGCAAAGATAGCACTGAGTTAATGGTTGCTAATTGGTAAATCTTATTCTTTCCTAATCCATTGTTGTTGCTGAGACGTCACTTCGCTTATCACAAAGTCAAGAGTTTTCCTTTTATATATTCGAACTTTACCAAATCCGATTGCCAATTCCAGCTGTTGCAGCTGCCAATTGCAGAAACAACAGTTAACCTGGGGGGGAAAAAACTTCATTTCCATGGATCTTTCCAGTTTACAGAATTGGTACCTTTTTCTTCCTTGATTCATGTTTTCTTTCTGTCTTTTGTTTTCCACTGGTTCTATCGTATGTTTTTGGGAACATGCAGTTATGGAGTTGACCTGCAAAGGAGGCCTGGAGTTTAGAATTTGTAGATATTTGAAGTAATGATTGGGCAAACTAGTATTTCGATTTAGAGTAATTTTGGGGTTTAATCATTTTTTTTAGGAGTGCCATTCATAGGGTGTAAGATAATCCAGCTGAAAAAATGTTTACACTGTGAAGTTGGAACTAAATAGAGTTGGAGTTAGATTAGGAAGCTCGCTTGAGCTTGTTAGAATTTGACATAGAATTAGAAAGGGTTTCATTTTTGACCCAACTCGATTTGTTTACCATATGAGAATTCTAGAAGTTGTATTTTCATTCAGATTCCGTTGTTCTCTTTTTGAGCTTAGCTGACTCCCATATTGTTTGTTTTTTGTTGCTAGTTATCTTGATTCCTGTAGGAGGCATGAGGTTCTTCCGAATTCCGGGGTTCTATCATGGTTTTCTGAGGTCAATTTTCAAGCATTCCTGGTTTCATATGAAACTTTTGGGTATTAAATGATGAGATTGCTTTTACTGCATTTTATTGATTCTTTTTTGTTATCATTCAGGCCAAGGTTCAAAAGTCTTGTCAAGAGAAGTGTAACATTGTGGTTTCTCTAAACCAGTTGAAAAATGATGATATTCCTCCACTGATCGACGTATTTCTAGCTATAGACTCATCTGATATTGATGCTGTTCACATCCGCCATCATGGACCAACTTCTGTTTTGAATGAAGAACACATACTTCCTTTGATGAATGCAATCAAACTAAAGCTCAGAGTAATTGAACTTAGTAACACATCTCTAAAGAAGGACTTTCTCCGGTCTGTAATACTTCTATCCCTTACAACATTCTCAATCACGTCAAGTTTTAATTACTTCCAAGATCAATTACTTGTTATCTTCCAGTTATTGTCTAGCTCCTAAAGATTCTACTAAGAATCTGTAGAATTTCGTTGCACTGATGTTTTAGGCTGGTATATAAGTGTTACCGATAAGATTGCAAAATGTCTGATGACTATCCTGTTGAATATCGTTTTGCCTTTGGTCCGCTTATTATTGACATTGTATATAAACTTCGTGTTTTGTGATTAATGTTGTATTTTTTCCCTGCTAATTTTCGACTGTTAACAACCAATGCTAGTAGCCAAGGATGTTGTTTGTATATGCCATTTTGACAAATACCAAACCTTTATTATTGTTGTGTTGTGCTCAGGGATCTCTTCAATGTTGGTCTGCCTTGCTGTGTTTTAAAGTTGAGGTCTAATAGTATCCAAAAGCTCGACATGATTGGAAGGTTTATGCGGTTACACACCCTGAATTTGGACTTCTGTACTTCACTCACTAGTTTGCAAAAAGACTGCTTTTCTTGCATGCCAAGTCTGATGCGTCTATCAATGTGTGAGACGAGAGTTGCTAATCTCTGGACAACAACTGAAGTTCTAGCAAAACTTCCTTCTTTGTTGGAACTACGGTTCCAAAATTGTTTGTGTTGCAAGGATACTGGGCCTTGCCCGGTGTCATCTAGCGAGAAAGAAAAACTTGAGGACAAGGAGCGCTCAAACGTGATTAATATCTGTTCATACAGTGAGGAAGACTCTTTTGGCACTGTATATGATTCATCAGAAGTTGATGAACCTAAGTTTTTGGGTTTCCTTCAAAAACGATTGGAAACATTACCCAGTCTGCTTCATAATTTATCTGCAGAGCTGAAACTGCAAAATGAGGTAAAATGACAATATGCTTGCAGCATTTGTCTATAGTGATAAGAGAAGTTTAGGTTTCTTTATAATCGTTGTTTATCTAACAGAGTATCCTTTACTTGTGCAGAAGGAGACCCCGAAGAAAGTTTCCGGTACACTGAACCAAGATATTTGGCATCATCCTTCACCCATATGCTTTGAGAAACATTATAGGGAGTACATGGTTGCTTCCTTACCTCGTTTAGCTGTATTAGATAATCTGCTGATCACAAAGAAGGAGAGGGAAACTTCGAAGACCATCGTTTCAGACTTCTATGAGTACTTGCCATACAAACATAACCACAAAAAAAGTGTTGTCAACATTTTGCAGAAGCGTGAAATGGGAACAAGTGGTATTTACTGTCGAAGCTCTTCAAAACTGAAGCAGACTTACTGTTATGGAAAGAGCCAATGTTTCTTCTCAAGGTCTCTTAGTGCTGCTAGATTCGGCTCTTCTTTGTGGCCCTTCTTACATCCCGTATCCAGCTTTAACCACATATCTAAAGGGGGAAATAAACGGCTTCGTCCGAGGCAATTTGAGTACCACCCTTCCAACTCCAGCCTTATGGCTTTAGGAACTTTAGATGGTGAAGTAGTCGTTATCAATCATGAGACTGGGAATCTTGTCGGTTATAATTCATCTGTAGGAATGATTAACAGTGTTCTAGGACTCTGCTGGCTCAAGAAATATCCATCCAAGGTATTTTCTGATTATATTTTTTTCATCTATAGTTCTTAATTACACAAGTGCCCTGTTTTTCCAGTCTGAATTAAATTTGTTTCTAAGAAGCATTTTGTGTTTTATAGTATAGTATTGTGAATATCACTGCATAAATGAGTTGAATTAGCTAGCAGTTAATCACTTAAATCTTATATTCATTCAAGCAACAGCCATGAGCATTATAAAAGAATAGCTTGTTATATGTTCAGCTGATCTATTTTGCTTCTTCTAACTTCGGCTATCACTGATTTTTCTGTGTTGAACAATCAGCTTGTAGCTGGATTCGACAGCGGTTGCTTGAAGTTGTTTGATGTTAATCATATGCTGGCCAAACTAGAAGACGCATCTTGTGGTTCTGATAAAGTTAATTTTGAAGATTTCAAACAATTAACTTCTGTTCATGTCAATGCAACGGATGATCAATTCCTTGCCAGTGGGTACTCAAAAGGCGTTGCTCTATATGACATTAGCACCGGGAAACGTTTACAAATGTTTACTAATATGCATCGAGAAGCTATTAATGTCGCTAAATTTGCTCATCACTCTCCTTTTATGTTCGCTACATCTTCATTTGACAAAGATGTGAAGATGTGGGACCTGAGGGAGAGACCCGATAACCCTTGCTATACCGCTTCAAGCTCCCGAGAAAATGTTATGGTTTGCTTTTCACCTGATGATCTCTATCTCCTCGTTTCAGCCATTGATAATGAGGTACATAGTTCTTTCTTAACTGTTGCTTCATACTATAGATTGCACCTATCTGAGAGAATTTATAATGTTTTTGACGATGATGAGCTTTGTTGTGCTTGAACAGGATTAAAAGACTAACGAAACTTGTCTGGTTTGTTCATCGGTAGTATTGAGTATTTTATCATTAATTTCTTAACGGTCTCTTTCAGGTTAAGCAACTTTTGGCAGTAGATGGAAGGCTCCATATGAATTTCAACATAGCTTCAACCGGAAGTTCTCATAACTACACTCGTTCATATTTCATGAATGGAAGAGATTATATCATTAGTGGAAGTTGTGACGAACATGTTGTTCGCATATGCTGCTCTCAAACGGGAAGACGACTTAGGGATGTCTATATCGAGGTACATTGTCAAATACCCGTACTTCAACCCTAAACCACTAATTAGCATGCATAATTTTAATGATATTTCATATCTCACATTTGGGTTTGGACCACTTGTTGTCAATGATCACCCTTCTAACAACTTTCTTTGACGTATTAGCAACCGATGATTTGAGGAATTTCTTGTTAATGTGTAGGGTATGGATTCAGGAAATTCTGTCTTTGTGCAGTCCTTAAGGGCTGATCCTTTCAGGGTAAGTCTGTTTTTTTTTTATTCCATTTTTCCGCAGATATGATGGACTGCTTTTCTCAACCATTTCCTCTGCTTTACAAGCCAACTAGATGTAGTCTTTTAAACATTTTGCTCGAGTCATTACCTTACTCTGAAACTTGGGCACATATGTATTATTATTTAGTCAGAAATACAAATGGACTGTAATCATGAAGTCGAATTTGTGAGCCGGAACATGTATGTATGTTGGATATATATATATATCACCATATCACCCATGCATGAAACAGGTCATGAAGGTATAGGTTATAAAATGTTATAAAACGTTGAAGCAGTTCATGATGTTATAAACTGTTCTTGATGAAATCTAACCCTTCTTTTTTTTGGAGCAGCATTTTAACTTCAGTGTCTTGTCGACCTCTATGCGACCCACATCAAAGCAGGAGATCATCAAGGTATAGGTTTTGCATCACTTTGTTTTTGTAGTGATTGTAGTTAAGTTCACTAGGGCCAGGTTTGGCTGATTGTTGTGCCCTATTATAGGTCAATTTGCTTGCCTCTAGTCACTACGCGGATGAATCTTCTCATGATCAAGGTATTTATTCTTACAGTGGTCTTGAAGTTTAATCTTGGTATCTCCATCAAGATATCTATGTATATAAAAAGAGACTACCCCTTTGTTTTGTAAATATATGATTTACTGCAACTGTATGTATATGTTGGGTTTAAAATAGGTGTAAAAGTAAAACTCAGAAAAATAAGAAAAACTGTGTATAATTTATTTTATTTTTTATCACTGGAGCATGGTTTTGTTGAATGAGATATGTTAAATAGGTGATTGTTTGGCTTTAATTTTAACTTTTATAGGATTATTTGTCATGTGATTTGTACAACCACTATCTGCAAGCTAGTTCTCAAGAGTGTTTTATTGGCTTTAATTTTTTACCTACCATCCTCTCGTTGTCTACAATTATGAGAAGTTATTCAACGTATTCTTTTATAATTTCAGACTCTTTCATTCTCTGTCTTAAATTTGCAAAGCAAGTTCATTACTTTATGTCGTTGATTTTGGTAAGAATTGATGGTGAAACTGCATAAAATATGCTTTAACCTTGTCTTCTTCCTAGAATTCTTCATTTGCAGCATAGTTGGATTAGTTGAAAGTAGAATAATTTCATAATCATCTTGGAGTTTGATAATTTTCTCTATTGAAGACTGATGGTGCCATTGTGAAACTTGTCTCTCAAATGTCTCTCAAGATAAAAAAAAATGCTATGAGTTTAACTTTTTAATTTTAGAATAGGTGTAAAAGGAAAAGAGAAATTTCGTAGATTTTTTTTAATCGTTGGAGAATGGTTTTATCGAATGAGATATGTTAAATTTATAAAAAAAATTGTAAAAAAAAAATAATTTAAAAATGAAGAAAATCTAGCATCCTACTTCCTCTTAAATAGTAATAACATTTGAAAAAATAAATCTTATTGTAACCTAATATCTTTGACCGATTCTTGACAAATTCTAAGTTAAAACTTTCAACAATATATTTCATCACTGTAGAATGGTATTTGGTTTTAGAGTTTAAATCCAATTGAGAAGCAATGGAGACACTTTGTTTATTCAAAGCACATTTGATTTGTCATATTGAAGTGGATAAGATTGATGTTACTTGGAATCTTTTAGTTTTGACGCATATAATGGGAGTGATTGGAATTGGACCCTAAAAAAAGTATGGTAAGAATTTGTAGGAATGATAATACTTTGAAGGCTAAGTATAACGTGATCTCCCAATAACCTACCAAAGATATATTATTTATGATGAGTGATCTCAATATTAAAAGAAAATATTATTTTCTTTAGAAATTTTGAATTCAAGTGGTTGTATATATCAGATATGTTCTGAACAAATCCATTGCTTACTTCAGTAGGCCTCAAAGTGTGTTGGGAGCTTCTGTTGTGTGGCGGTTAAAAAACAGCGTGACCAGTTAAATAAGTGACTGGTTAAAATTCAGATCGATTATGTTATATCATTTAACCGGAAATATTATCAAGTACAATAACATATTATGTAGCGCTTATATAATGTAATAGGTAGCGCTTATATAATAAAATAGGCATTTAACCGGAAATATTATCAAGTACAATAACATATTAGGTAGCGCTTATATAATAAAACAGGCATTTAACCGGAAATATTATCAAGTACAATAACATATTAGGTAACGCTTATATAATGTAATATGTAGCGCTTATATTGACCTATTTTATAAGTAAATCAATATATTTATACCGGTAACATTGCAAATTTACCTATTACATTATAATTATCGGTTTCGATGTTTTTTGGATCGATAAAATTTTAAATGTATATACACTTTATGCGTGCACCTCGTTGGGCTTTCATTATGGGAACAAGTATCGACGTAAACTTAAAGAGTGTCGATCATTATTTAGACCTATTTTTCATAAAACTGGTATATTTATACCGGTTACATTGTAAATTTACATATTACATTATAATTATCGGTTTCGATGTTTTTTGGATCGATACTTTTTAAAACATATATCGACACTTTATGCATGCAACCCTTTTGGCATTCATTTTGGACAAAAAATATCGACACAAATATAAAATGTGATACATTATGTTCACCTATTTTAATATAAAACCGGTATATTTATACCAGTTACATTGTAAATTTACCTATTACATTATAATTATCGGTTTCAATTTTATTGGGATCGATACTTTTAATAATTGTATCGACACTTTATGTTTGCACCTCATTTGGGCATTCATTTTGGACAATAAGTATCGACACAAATTACACAAGTGTCGATACATTATGGCGACCTGTTTTCTAATTAACTGGTATATTTATACCGGTTACATTGTTAATTTACCTATTACATTATAATTATTGGTTTCGATGTTTTTTGGGTCGATACTTTTAGAAAATGTATCGACACATATTTAGGTAGTTATTGTACACACCTAAATATGGCACGCGAATTTAATGTTGTACCCACCCTTCAACTACCACTACCAATACCACATCCTATTGAAAGCACGACTCCCGACTGAAACATGTTGAATGAATGAACATTTACTTATATCTCCATCAACTCCGGGACCACTGAACTTGCACAACAAATTTTTTTCCATGGATCATACTGATGCAGACAATGTTAAGCCAACCGAGGAATGCCATGAATTACATAATGTTGATGAATCTGACATATTGGTTGGTCAGCTCTTCTCTTCACGTGATCAAGTTTGGTACTTTTACAAGAGATTCGCACGGTAACATAGGTTTAGTGCACGTAAGGGAACAACAAGGCTTGATGTGGAAGGGAAGCTGAAGACACAAGAATTTTGTTGTTCCAAATAAGGGTTTCGAGTATCAAAAGGCAATACTGTTGATCGTCAACGTGCTCATACGCCAGACACAAGAACAGGATGCAAGGCTAGAGTCGTAGTTACAGCAACAAATACAAACGATCATTGGGTTATAAGTAAGTCTTATCAGAAATATAATCATGCATTATGCACACCTGCTATGACACCATTTATGCGCTCTAATAGAGCTGTAAGTAAGGCTGATATCGATGAGGCAATAACATTGAAAGAGGTCAATGTTGGCACGTCACAAGTAATGAACTATTTAAAGCAGTAGGCAGGGGGCTATCATAATGTTGGATTTACACATAAAGACCTCTACAATGCACTTCAAAGAGGTAAAGCAAAGGAAATCGTCGATGGGGATGTGAATGCACTTATTGCTTACTTTGATTATAAGAAACATGATGATCCCGGGTTTTTTTATGACATACTCGGTAGATGAATCAGGGGTATTGCATAATCTTATTTGGTCAGATTCTACATCGAGATCAGATTACACATGCTTCGGTGATGTAATTGCGTTCGACACAACGTACAAAGATAATTTGTATGGTTGACCAATTATGCCTATTGTCGGTGTCAATCATCACCATAAATGTATCACCACTTTATGCGTTCACCCTTTTGGCTATTCATTATGTACAAAAAGTATCGACACAACATTAAAAAGAGTCGACATATTATGTAGACCTATTCTCACATAAAATCGGTATATTTATATCGGTTATATTACAAAATTACCTATTACATTATAATTATTGGTTTCGATGTTTTTTTGGATCGATATGTTTTAAAAAATGTTTCGACACTTTATGAGTGCTTCCTTTATGGGCATTCCTTATGGTGAAACAGTATCGACACAAATTCCATAAGTGTCGATAAATTATGTAGACCTATTCTCTCATAAAACTAGTTTAGTTATACCGGTTACATTGTAAATTTACCTATTACATTATATTTATGGATTTCGATGTTTCTGGGATCGATACTTTTTAAAACTGTATCGACATTTTATGGGAAACTTTAAGTTTGGAAACTTTATGTATGATAACTTTGTTGTGGAGATTATAGAAAATGATTCTTTCATAATGTGTTTCGATACATTTGCACGCAGATGTAAAATACATTAATAACTAGTATTGATATTTCAACAATCCTCAAATGTATTTGTATACAGAGAAGCAAATATGGAATGATAACATGCATATTAGCTAAGTTAATAAGTTTTGAAAAAGGTAAGTTGTTACACTATAAATGAAATTATATAATTGATTCATACTGTTCAAGTAACATACGTACACAATAAATTTATACATAACAATGTTCAAATAATGTTCAAATAATTTATACATAACAATGTTCAAATAATGTTCAAATAATGTACCCACAACGAAATTAATCCGATAAAAAAGGGTTATTTCTAACGAAGTCCGGAACATTAGGCGCCTTCAACAAATTTTCCAAATACTCTCGTATGTTACCGCCTTTTTCTGAGGACATATATAAATAATTTCAAGTATCAAACTAATGAGGTGCAATTTTACTACTAAATTCGCATAAGCATAAATAAATTTGTGTTATACCTAGAGCATTGTCGCCCGAATGGGAAGCATCGTCAAAGGACTGTGGACATATGTAATTGTATTTCTATATAAACACAAATTGTTAATCAATCAATGTATGAACACCTGTTTAACTGGAAAAACATATTGCATAAATGTAACTTACCGGATTATAAATCATTTTTTCCGGTGAATCATCGACCAACAGTGTATTTAGGTCGTTAAAATAAGGAAACACGTTCCAAACATCATTGAGATCTTTACAGTAGGTAACATTATCGTATGTTTTGCAATTTGCTTGATCCTGTTCACAAATAGTCGAACATAAATATGTAGGAATCATAGATAAATAAAAGTCAGCAAATTGTAATGAGATTCATCTTACCCAAGTGAATAGAAAATGGTCAGACAGTAAAGGTAATTTCTCAAGTGCAGGGTCGATGTTATGCCTTAAATTATAATCAAGTTTGAATGTTAACATTTAATTGTATATTAACGATTTTGGCTACAGTAATTCAATTGCTCAACAGTTCTAACCTCATCTTGGAAGACCAAATAGAAACAACAAAATTGTCTACACAAAAATGCATAAATTCATATAATCCTGTTCTGAGGACAACATTTACAACATGAAGAAAATGAGATTAAAGTTCTACGCTTATATGTTAAAATAATGGATACAAAAGAACAGAATTAAAACATTTTGGTTGTCTTGGGATGTAGGCAAGGACACCATTGACATAAAAAATTATAAGTTTTCTTGCAGGCGGCGTTGCATACACGATTTACTTGTTTGGAACATCATAGTCATAATCATCATCAT